CCCCAGTAGGGACCCTTGTGTGGGGGCTCTGATATCACACTTCCCTTCCACACAGCCCTAGCAGAGGTTCTCTATTAGGGCCTCACCCTTACAGCAAACTTCTGCCTGGGCATCCAGGTATTTCCATACATCATCTGAAACCTAGGGGGAGGTTCCCAAACCTCAATTCTTGACTTCTGTGTACTTGCAGGCTCAACACTATGTGGCAACTGCCAAGGCTTGGGGATTGCATGCTTTGAAGCCACAGCCCGAGCTCTATGTTGGCCCCTTTCAGCCACGGTTAGAGCTGCTGGGACACAGGACACAAGTCTCTAGGCTAGACATTGGGACCCTGGGCCTGACCCACAAAACCACTTTTTCCTCCTAGGGCTTTGGGCTTGTGAAGAGAGGGGCTGCCATGAAGACCTCTCATATTCCCTGGAGATATTTTCCCCATTGTCTTGGGGATTAACATGGAGCTCCTTATTATTTATGCCAATTTCTAAGGCTGGCTTGAATTTCTCCTCAGAAAATGGGATTAGTCCGTTTTCATGCTGCTGACAAAGACATGAACGAGACTGGGTAATTTACAAAAGTAAGAGGTTTATTGGACTTACAGTTCCACACGGCTGAGGAGGCCTCATAATTATGGAGGAAGGTGAAAGGCAAGTCTCACATGGTGGCAGATAAGAGAAGACAGCTTGTGTAGGGAGATTCCTGTTTTTAAAACCATCAGATCAGGCCAGGAATGGTGGCTCATGCCTGTAATCTCAGCACTTTGGGAGGCCGTGACAGTGGATCACCTGAGGTCAGAAGTTTGAGACAAGCCTAGCCAACATGGTAAAACTCCGTCTCTACTAAAAATACAAAAATTAGCCGGGCATGGTGGCACATGTCTGTAATCCCAGCTACCAGGGGGGCTGAGGCAGGAGGGTCGCTTGAACCTGGGAGATGGAGGTTGCAGTGATCTGAGACCGTGTCACTGCACTCCAACCTGGGCAACAGAATGAGATTCCATCTAAATAAATAAATAAATAAAATCATCGGATCTTGTGATACTTATTCACTAACACAGGAACAGTATGGGAAAGATCTGCCCCCATGATTGCCCCTTGCCCCCCATCCGAGACAAGGAAAGTCCCTTCTGCCTATAAGCCTGTAAAAATCAAAAGCAAGTTAGCTACTTCCTAATTATCTCCCACTGGGTGCCTCCCACAACACATGTGAATTAAAGATGAGATCTGGGTGGGGCACAGCCAAGCCATATCAATGAATAAGAAACAAAACACTACCAATCAAAGGTCCATGGCATGTTTCCTTCCCAATCCTACTCAACACCCATCCTAGTCAATTTTTAAACATACTTTTTAAAGACTAGACACTTTATATATTATCAGATCAACAGTGAGTCTTAATATTTTTTTCAGTTATGAGATCAATTCAAAAGAATATATCCAGAAAAAATTATTTTACAAACCTAAGACTCTCAAGCTTGTATCTCCAGCTCATACCGCTCCCTTAAACTCAGCTTATATGTATACACACACAATACATACATATGTGTACACATTCACACATGTAACATCTCCATTTTAATGTCAAAATTAAACAGACATCTCAAAACTTGTTCTTCCCCTCAAAACCTGTCATTTAATTAAATGGCAGCCATATTCTTCCCATTGTTTAGGCCAAAACTTTTGAAGTCATCTTTACCTTCTCTTACTCCCACACTCCACTTCCAAATCATTAGGAAATACTACTGGTTCTACCTTTTAAAATAGATCCAGAATCTTATAACTTCTCAGGACCTCCTCCACCTCCTCAGTCCATATTACCATCATGTCTCCCTTGGATTACTACAAGAACCTACTAACTGCTTCCTGCTTTGACTCTCCCTCATCTTGACCAAACCAGTCAATTCAGCAGCCTGAATGAACTTTTTAAAACACTAAGTCAGATCAGATCACATGACTCTTTTTTTTTTTTTTTTTTTTGAGACAGAGTCTCACTCCATTGCCTGGCTGGAGTGCAGTGGCACGATCTCAGCTCACTGAAACCTCCACTCATGGGTTCAAGCAATTCTCCTGCTTCAGCCTCTTGAGTAGCTGGGATTACAGGTGCACAACACCATGCCCAGCTAATTTTGGCATTTTTAGTAGAGACGGGGTTTCACCATCATGGCCAGGATAGTCTCTATCTCCTGATCTTGTGATCCACCCACCTCGGCCTCCCAAAGTGCTGGGATTACAGGCGTGAGCCACCACGCCCGGCCCTGACTCTTCTTTTGAAAACCTTTTCAAAGATTCCCATCTCATGCAGAGTAAAATCCAAAGTCCTTACAGTGGCCTCCTGCCCTATGTGTGCCACACTTCCCTGCCTGTCATGTTATTCCCTACACCTCCCCCAGCATACTCTGCTGTCAGCCATGAGGATCTTTGTAGTTGTCCCATTTGTGTTGAAAACTCTTTCTCCAGATATTCTCATGGCTCTCTCATCAAAGATGTTAGCATTAACTAATATATTTTTTGTGAGGCCATGACTGACAGTGCTATTTAAATCCCAACCCCAGATTTGGTGAAATGCCCTTTCTTCCTTCTCTATTTTATTTCTCTCTATAGTGCTTATCACCATATGACATATCAGATATCTTACTATTTACTTACTTATCAGGCTTTCATTCAAATTGCTGTACCACTATTAGCCAGAACAGTGTCTGATGCATAACAGGTCTTAAAAAAATATTGAATTAATGAATAAATGAATATGACTAATTTCATATCTGTCATTTACTTCTTCCTCTACAGTCTCTTGAAATGCTTTCTATAACACCACCCTGTATTTGGCTATATACTTGCATCTTCACACATATCATCTGTCTATTAGGTCTGCTATAACAAAATACTGTAAATTCAGTAGCTTGTAAACAACAGGAATTTATTTCTCAAAGTTCTAGAGTCTGAGAAGTCCAAGATCAAGACAATAACAGATTTGGTATCTAGAGAGGACCTGCTTTCTGGTTTATAGATGGTGCCTTATAGCTATGTCTTGACATGTGGAAAAGACAAGAAAGCTCTCTGGGGCCTCTTTTTAAGAGTATTAATCCTATTTATGAGGGTTTTATTCCCATGACCTACTAGGTTCCAAAAGCTCCATCTCTTAATACTATCATCTTGAAGGTTAGGTTTCAACATGCGAATTTGAAGGAACACATTCAGACCATAGTATCAACTCAATGAATGCCTATTCCTTCATTCAGGAAATTGGCCATCTGTTTATTATAATTCCTAAAATTGTTCTAAAAAAAGAGAGGCCGAGTACGGTGGCTCATGCCTGTAATCGCTGCACTTTGGGAGGCCCAGGCGGGTGGATCACGAGGTCAGGGGTTTGAGACCAGCCTGGCCTAACATAGTGAAACTAAAAATACAAAAAATTAGCTGAGCATGGTGGTGGGCACCTGTAATCCCAGTTACTTGGGAGGCTGAAGCAGGAGAATCTCTTGAACTAGGGAGGCAGAGGTTGCAGTGAGCTAAGATCGTACCATTGCACTCCAGCCTGGTGACTGTGTGAGACTCCATCTCAAAAAAAAAAAAAAAAAAAAAAAAAGATAGAGTTCCCTGTAGATTTCCTTTATCACAGTCTTATGATAATTTTAAAAACTGTCTCTTCATAAATTATTGCAATAATTTTTCCTTGGAGGTCCTCCCATCCTGGCATAAATGTACAGCATGAAATATTGAAGTAAACATTAAACTTTACTAAAGAACAAACTCTTACCAAAAAAGTAAACCTTTTGAGTTAATAACTGAGTTGAGCAAGGTTACTGGATACATAAACATAAAAGGTCAAAATATATAAAATGGCAATAAATAGAAAACAAAAACAGATGTCTCTCACAAGAACATTAAACAACATCCATATCCAGAATTAAATCTAACCAAAAGATGTAAGAATCCTGCACTGAAAACAACAAAACATTACTACAAAAAATTAAAGCCTTAAGTCAATGGATTAGGTTCATAGATTTGAAGACTAGATATTGTAAAGATGTCAGTTCTCCACATATTCATCTATAGATCTAAAAAATCTCAATGCAAAGGGCCAATAGCCAAGGCCATCCTCAAGAGAAAAGCTAGCGTACTTACACTGCTAGATATCAAGACCTATTATAGGACTTTACTAATCAAGACAACATGAAATTAGTAAAGGATGGAAAAATAGAGCACAGAAGAAGATCTATGCATTTATAGTCACATGATTTATGACACAGAGAACACAGAAAATGAAGAGGAGGAGGAGTGGTCTTTTTAGTAAAAGCCTGATTAACTGAGCCCATCTGGTAAAAATAAAAAAGAAGACTTGACCCTCACCTCACACCATGGACAAAAATCAATTCCCATGGTTTACAAATATAAATGTGAAAGGTTCAACAATAAAGATTTAAGAAGAAAACATAGGACAATATCTTTGTAACCTTGAAGAAGGCAAGGATTTCAAACAGTGCTAGCCACGAAAAAAATTAATAAATTGGACCAAACTAAATTTTGTTTACCAAATGTATTATTAAGGAGTTGAAAAGGCAAACCACAAAGTAAGAGGATAGTCATAATACATGTATCTGAAAAAGAACTTATATCCAAAATGCACAGAAAACTACAAATCAAAAGGGAGACTTCCCAAAAGAAAAATGAACAAAAATCATGCACAGGTATTTCACAAGAGAATATCCAAACAGCCAAAAATCTTTTTTAAAAGTTCAATTTAATTAGTCACTAAGAAGTAGTTTTGCTTTCTCTACCTTACAAATAGGAGTCCTTAGAGACAAATTAAATTAAAAGAAGGGTTAATTTAACACTGGCTTAAATGCACAGGTTAGCCAGTCTTTCACTTTGTACTGGTATACAGCAGAATTTCATATTCAAGAAATTGTAAGTACAGGTTCACATTAATTTAACACTGGTTTAAACACATAGGTTAGCCAATCTTTCACTTTGTACTGGTATACAGCAGGAGTCAATACTTACAGTAAATTTAGCTCTTTCTTCCATCACTTCATAACCCAGTATAGTAGGTGTAGATGGTCTATCTTCCCAATTCACGGTTTCAGGATTTTGTTCTTCAGTTTCTCTTCCTCTAGTAGAATACTCAATGGAAGAAGCTGCACCTGTAAATTTAGTCCTAATGAGGGGACTGCTACAGACAGATGAAGTATTTTCCATTTGATCAGGAACACTTGTCTGTTTAAAATTACCCATATTTGAGTCTTCTAACTGGCCTTTAGAAGAATTTGAGTTTGTTGAGACACTGCCAAAAGAAGAGCTTCTTTGATTTCTGTTGTTTGTAAAACTGGAAGCAGTGTTTCCTATGGGCATAGGAACTGGGACATAAGGAGTTGCCATCTTCTTTCGGCTTTTGAACAAGCTTGCACACTGTTGAGTCCAAACACTCACTCAGAGAACAACTAATATACAATCCATTATTTTCTTCTTAGGAATTCACTAAAAATGAAAAAGACATAGTAAAAGATTAGTCTTTAATCTGCAGCAGGATGCAAAAGAAAAAACGTTCTTTTCAATTTTATGACACTCTTATTTTATTTGGAACAAAAACATACCTCAAACCCCTTCTTTTAATTTCAGTTGTCTCTAAGGACTCCTATTTGCAAGGTAGGGAGAGCAAAGCTACTTCACACTTTTTTTTTCCTTGAACCCATGTTATATGCTAACCCTTTTCCCCCTACTTTATTTCCTCGTGAACTAGTTCTGTAATGTTCATTTTAACCTAATTTCGTCTATATAAAAGTTGGTAGGAGAAAGAGTGGTAAAGAGCCTTCTGAAGTCTTATTCCATGCTTATCATCCTGACAGTACTACATTCAGTACAAGAGAGAAAAAGAGAAGAGAGGCAAGAGAGAAAACCTATCTACATCACCTCTGGATTTAATTAGAAAGGGAATAAATCTATTCACATTACCTTTCAATTTAATTAGTGAAACTATAAAGACTTAACACAGATTAGTAACAGTGAGCTGCATGCTTAGATGCTACATAGTAAAACTTTATAGAACCCAAGATTTAAAAAATACACTTGGTCAAGTTACTCAAATAAAACTCAGTGAACATTAACCTTATATGCAACAAAATTAGTGAAAAGTTTAACCGTTCTTCACAGCTTCCAGGTCATCACTAATTCTGCTCTGAGATAAACGGACGGTATTTACATCTTTATAACTCGTAAGAATCTGTTATCCAAATAGCTAGTATATCTTGTGTCAGAATAGTATCATAACACAAAGAAGAAATGGTTTACTATCACGTTGTTAAATAATAAACTCATTAGAAACTGCAATAACTACAGACCAACAAAATGACAAGGCTGTACACAACAATAACGGATCTGCTGCCCAACTCTCCATAGGAAACTCTACTGGTGGGAAAGGTAAGAAAAGAGTCACCCGGACTTGGAAAGATGCTGAAATAAGATTTTTAACTCAGCACGTGGCTCTCGGTAACCTTTCCCATTATCAAAGATCCGTGAAACTTGAGCTGCTGATTCACCGCTCCTCGGTTCCGTCTGATGGCCTCCCTACAAACAAGTAAACAGCCTGAAATCTCAACCTTCTCAAGGCCCGAGGGATCTACCTGGCCTTTGTCACGCTACTACCTGAGGCCGCCGAGGTCGCCTATCAATACAATTACTGACATCCAAAGAAGTGAGCGCTACTTAAGCGTTAATAAAAAACGTGCTGTGCTCATTAGGAGCTTCTTCGCTTTTGCCCTGGTGCGGAGATGCTCCCAGGGCAGTCAGCTCAGTCTCACTCTGGAAAACCTCAGGTGAGGTGGCCCGACGCTGAGCAGCCCGGTGGGCGGGAGGAAAGCCGCAAATACCAGGCACAGGTCGACCCTCGGAAGGTAAGGCCCGGGTCTGCGCCGGTCACGCGTCTTCGGCACTGCGGGCGGCGAGACCCGCCGCTCCCTAGGCTCCCAGGCTCTCCCGCCTCCGCTGCCCGATGCGCCCAGAGCCTCCCAGACGCACAGTGGAGTCGGCGGTGGCCTGAAGGTGGCCGGGCTTCGTGCTGCGCCGCTCCACTCTCCCGCGGAGCCCCTCGCCGCCCGCCAGACACCGAGGTTGCAGGTGTCACCCGTACGGGAACCCGGGACAGCGACCGTCTGTCCTGAAGTAACGACTCTGTCCCTACCTCAGCCCACTCCGCAAGCCAGAACAAGCGCGCTTCCCGTTGACGGTTAAACCCGACTCTCCTCAACTGCAGCTTTTCGCCTCTTCCCTCAGCTGCGAGAAGCCTCACGTGACACCCCTACCCCCGCCCCGAAAGCAGCTGCTCCCCGCCTCAGACAGCCTCTATCCTGCTGCCCGGCCCAAGATCCCAGCCGTGTGGAAGGAGGGGCCGAGCCTGGGACATCGCTGCCGGAAGTGATGTCACGCCAAGGGGACCCTCCCGCCGGAGGCGCGACTGGAGTTGTCCCGCCGGGCGCTTCGGTAGCGAGGATAAATGTAATCCTGTGGCAGGAAATCGACATTCTCTTCACTATCTTTACTTTTCCAAGTGAACTTCTAAGAAATGGTTGCTACAATACCTAGCTTGCCAAACAGGTGAGTAGAAGACTACAATTCCCAGAAGGCACTATGACCAACATTGGTCCACGCTCATACTTTGCATCATGGGACTTGTAGTCATCACCAGCTCGTGCTGTTTCTAACAGGTTATAGATTGTTCTCCAAAATTAGCAGCGCTTTAGGGGATGACAATCGTTGAGAAGAGTAGGAAGATAGAACACTGCTTAGTAGCTCATCCGTTCTACATAATTCGGAAGTCCTCATTACCAAAGAACTCCTGAAATTTTTTAGTGTCTTTTAACTATCTAGTGAGCAATTTGATCCCAATGGTAGAATATTAGCCTTGTTAGACTTGTGCTTCTGAAGATCTATGAAGTAAGGAAAGCTGATCTTTGATAGGCAAATTCCGAGATTCAGACTGGTCTACAGGCCTGTTCATCATTAGAATTGGGCAATGTGGTTGAAGAATCATTCCATGATTTCTAAGGCTTTGGGGTAGTCCCAATGTTACCCATGGAGGGTTTTGACTACAAGTCGTCCAGGTTCTTGGTGTTTTGAACAAAGTATTGGACAAAACGCACAAAGAAAGCAAGGAAAGAGTGAAGCAAGGAAAGCAGAGATTTACTGAAATGACAGTACACTCCACAGAGTGGGAGTGGCCTCCAGTAAGTGGCTCAAGAGCCCTGGTTACAGGATTTTCTGGAGTTTAAATACCTTCTAGAGATTTCCCATTGGTTACTTGGTTTACACCCTATCTAAATGAAGGATTTTCCTGCAGCCAATCAGAGGCTAAAGTTACAAAGTTATACTCCTATGCAAATAAATACTAGGCCCTGTCACCAAGGGTCTAGAAGGTTGGGCAGGGGGTTGCAAAGCAGGTAGCCTCTGGTTACTTGGGCGTGCAAAGTTGGAGTTTTCCTTTTGATTTAGTTCTAAGTCAGCATGAATGGGTCTTAGGATCCCTGCTTCCAGACCCTATTCTACTGCCTGACCAAGAGTGGGAAAAAGTGATAGTGGTCATTTTGGAATGAAGGTTGGAAAATAGTCTGGTTTTTGACACGATAGTTTTGTTTTGAGAAATTCTGCCCTTTCAGTGTGAATGAAATAAAAATAAAATTCTGTAGAAACAATGTTAAGTAAGAGAACAGAGTCTGAAGGCAGGAGACCTAAGACTGATTCATGCTAACTGTATGTCAGAGGACTCTTATTTTTGCCAGGTCTGTCCCTCAGACCCTGGCGGACAGATGAAATGAGTACTCAGACACAGGGATGCAGTGTAAGTAAGAACAGCTAGGTGACTGCCTGGCTCTGGTGGCCAGAGAGCAGCCCCGATAAGCTGGAGCTGCTTGCTTTTATTCAGTGTAGGCACAAGTACAAGAGTACAGGAGATAAAAAGAACAAACACAACCTGTAGGTAATTAACATTTATTGTTCCCCTTTCAGGGAACGTCAGGCAGATGATCAAAAGTCAGTTCCTAGTCAATATAAGTAAAGAATCCAGTTTAGGATAAATTCCCCTACACTCCCTTGTACCTACTGCTTGCCATCTGCCTCAGGGTTACAAAACAGCTGCCTTCAGCCATTCTGCCCTGGTGCTCTGCAAAACCTTCCAATCTTTCAAAAGGTTTGCATTCGTTCCTTACGGTTTTTCCCACCACTCTGACTGATCCCCCACACATTTTCAAGCCCTCCTTTTTCTGCGTGGCAGTTGCAACCCCTCCTTTTTTTGGGTGGCAGTTGAAAAATGAAAGAATCTCTTGGTCCCCTCCCACAACCAACCAGACTTGAGGGCCTACTTTTCACTCTGGTCCCCTCCCACAACCAATCAGACTAGGTATGGGCCAATGGGAAACCTCTAGAGGGCATTTAAGCCCCAGAAAATTCTGTAACTGATGCTCTTGAGCCATTAGCTTGAGCCTGCTACTGCTCTGTGGAGTGTACTTTCATTTAAAATAAATCTCTGCTTTCCTTGCCTTGTGTGTTTTGTCTAATTCTTTGATCAAAACACCAAGAACCTAAACGACTACCTTCAACTGGTAACACATTTTGGCGAGCCAGCAAGGAGTTAAGCCCACAGTTTGGGATTTGGTTTTACTTTTTCCTGTTTCTCTTTTTCCTTTCCAAGCTGGGATTCTTGATGGACACTGTGCCTAAGCATGGAGGCAACTGCAGGTTTCTGGCCAGGGTCACTCTCTGGTGAAAATGAAAGGTCCATGTGGAAGCACCTGACTGCTACCACCTGCTTCAGGTGAGGGAACTGAGTCCTTTTCTTTTTCGGTCTTTCACTGGCCATTTCCTAGTAGCCCCTTGGTAATTGAGGGCAACTGGGGCCACTTTCTGGTGTTAATTGAAGGCACAGGAGCGAATGGTGATAGCTGCCTTGCCCAGAAGAGGGAAGGACTCCTTTCTGTTTTTTCCAGTTATAGTCCCTGATCCCTATGTGTGATATAATTGGCAGTGGCAGCTCATCCAAGGTGAATGCACACATGTTTCAGGCGACTTAAACCTTTTTTCCTTATGTTAAATTCTTCCCTTCCCCTACTCGACTGGCTAAGGATAAGTCACAGGGTTTGGGCATGTTGTAGATGGTCTGTGTGATTCATGGAGGGGATTCATGAAAGGGAATCTATGTAGAACTTAATCTTGTCCAAATTTAGAGAATTAAAGAATTGTTATAAGTGGGATAGGAAAAAAATCCAAAGGTTTGTTCTAGAAGTAGAGGCCTTCATCGAGGGACAAGAGGGAAAGCTCATAGTGAGTCATCAGTGGTGGAGAGTCATTCCAAAGTGGTGCTGGCACCCATCTAAGGTCGCAGACATCTGATGGACTAAGAGGAGTCCCTGGTCAGGGTCCAGAATTTTTCCAGAGGGATGCTCCAGGTAAAATTTGGGTGACCTAATGAGCCCTCCACTTTTCAAAGTCATTTTCTCTTTTGCACACCACTATGGGCAACTCACCATTTACTCCACCTGATTCCTGTATAGGCAACTCTCCATCTATTCCACCTGATTCCCTGCTTGGCTACATCTTCCACCATTGGAATCAATATACCCCTGAAAATATAAAGAGAAAACCTATAATTTTTTTTTTTTTGCAATACTGTTTGGTGTCATTATGAGCTGCCCATCCTGGAACAATGGGTGGTCAATAGTAGTCTTAATTATGACACCATCCTGCAATTAGTCATATCCTTGTAAGAGACAGTACAAACAGTCAGAGATCACATGCATGGGCCTTGATGGCCCTATACCAAAATCTAATAGCACACCCCAAAGGAAAGTTCAAAGGCAGAGCTAGATACTATAGATGATCCCCTTTTATAAGGGCCACCTGTCTCAGGGTGAATAGCAACTGCCCCCATCTGGCCCCTTGCCAAGTGCTCCTAAGGCTAACACCCAAACACTGTTAAGAGACCCTGCTAAGCCCCCCTCACACTCGTAGGGGAACACCATATTTAACTCTCCCTCCAGCCATGCTACCCCAGGGATAATGCTAGCAAGGGCTCTTGCTTCAAGTGCAAGGAGGCTGGGCATTGGGCAAAGGACTGTGCTAAGCCTCTGCCAGGCCCTGCTGAAAATGTGAGGGTACCAGTTATGATCCCTATACAGATTCTAAATATGTATTCCTTGTGTTTCATGCTTATGCTACAATTTTGAAAGAAAAGGGACTACTACCTAGCAAATACTCCCCAGTAAAGAATAAGCCTGAAATTCTTCAGCTATTGGAAGCAATACACCTACCAAAGGCTGCAGCCATAATCCATTGTAGGGGACATCAAAGGGACTTAACACCTATAGCACAAGGAAACAGAAGGGTTGATAGAGAAGCCAAAGCTGCTTCCCTTAGGGGATCCCAGCACTGCTTCTTTTCTGTGATTCTCCAATGGATCCTGAATACACACTACAGGAAGAACAGTTAATAAAGGAGCAAGGGGGACAAAAACAAGAATCCTTGTGATATATGGGACCAAACTAAATCTCCCTCAAACAGCCCAATGGAGATGCTACTCTGGCCATGGTAATCAGGTTCTTCATTGGCTCTAATGTAGATTCATTGGTTAAACAGGTCTGTCAATCCTGCTCACTGTGTGGGTTTAACAATCCAGGAAACAAAATGCTTCCTCTAATAGAACCAGTCCAGAGGAGAGGAACATACCCAGGGAAAGACTGGCAATTAGACTTAATCCAAATGCCAGCTTGCAGAGGATAGAAGTTTTTGTTAGTGCTAATAGATACCTTTACTGGTGGGGTCAAAACTTACCCTACCAGAACAGAGAAGGCTAATGAGGTTATAAAGTTTCTCTTACAATAAATAGTTCCCCAGTTTGGGTAACCTCAGAGTCTGCAAAGTGATAATGGCCCATTATTTATCTCTCAAATAACTCAAGGGGTCGCTAAGTCCCTTGGAATTAAACTATTTATATTCAGCATGGAGGCCTCAATCCTCTGGGAAAGTAGAAAGGGCTAACCAAACTCTAAAACAAGCATTCAGTAAGCTATGTTAGGAGACATCAGAAATTTGGGTCAGCTTACTGACTATAGCCGTCTTAAGGATCTGCAATACCCCTACAGCAAAAATTAATCTAAACCCATATGAAATTTTATACAGAAGGCTATTCTTTTTTTTTTTTTTTTTTTTTTTTTTTTTTTTGAGTCAGAGTTTCGCTCTTGTTACCCAGGCTGGAGTGCAATGGTGCAATCTCGGCTCACCGCAACCTCCGCCTCCTGGGTTCAGGCAATTCTCCTGCCTCAGCCTCCTGAGTAGCTGGGATTACAGGCATGTGCCACCATGCCCAGCTAATTTTTTGTATTTTTAGTAGAGACGGGGTTTCACCATTTTG